CTTTGTTCTATTTCTGTGAAAAATGTTTTTGGAACTTTGATAGGAATTGCATTGAATCTTTAGATTGCTTTAGGAAGTATGGACATTTTAACTATGTTAATTCTTCCAATCCAAGAGCGTGAAATTTCTTTCCATTTCTTTTGTCTTCTTCTATTTCTTTCAACAATATTTTATAGTTTTCATTGCACAGGTCTTTCACCTCTTGGGCTAAATTTATTCCTAGATATTTTATTCCTCTTACTGCAGTTATAAATGGGATTGTATTCTTAATTTCTTTCTGCTATCTCATTGTTAGTGTATAGAAATTCGATTTTTGTTCATTGATTTTTCATCCTGAAACTTTACTGTATTCATTTATTATTTCTAAAAGTTTTTTCATCCATTCTTTAGGGTATTCTATATATCAAATCATGTCATCTGGAAATAACAACAGTTTCACTTCTTCCTTTCCAATTAGGATCCCTTTTATTTCTGTTTCTTCATGATTGCTCTGGCTAGGACTGCCAATACTGTGTTAAATAAGAGTGGTGAAAATGAGCATCTTTGTGTGATTTTTGTTCGTGGAAGGATAGCTTTAAGTTTTTCTCCATTGAGAATGATATTAGCCGTGGATTTGTCACATATGACCTTTGTTATGTTGAGGTACTTTCCTTCTATACCCATTTTATTTTTTTTTAATTTTTTTTAATTTTTATTTTTTTCGGATGTACATCATATTTTGAATTCTGTGTACATTACATCATGTTCACCACCCGAACATTAATTATAGTCCATCCCCTCACATGTGAGCCTAATCACCCCTTTTGCCCTCCCCCTTCCCCCCTTCCCCAAAGATAACCACCAGTCCAATCTCCAATTTTATTGAGAGTTTTTATCATAAATGGATATTGGATCTTGTCAAATGCTTTTTCTGCATGTATTGAGATGATCACGTGGTTTTTGTTTCTCATTTTGTTAATGTCATATATCACATTGATTGATTTGCGGGTGTTGAACCACCCCTGCATCCCTAGTATAAATCCACTTGATCAGGTGTATGATGCTTTTTATGTATTGCTGTATTCGGTTTTCCAATATTTTCTTGAGGAGTTTTTCATCTATGTTCATCAGCTATATGGGCCTGTAATTTTTCTTGTGTTGCCCTTGTCTGGCTTTGGGAACAGGGTGACTTGGCATGATAAAATGTGTGAGGAAGTGCTCTGTTTTCCTCAGTTCTTTGGAATAGTTTGAGAAGGATAGGTGTAAAATCTTTGAATGTTTGGTAGAATTCACCAGAGAAACCATCTGGTCCTAGACTTCTATTTTTTGGGAGGTTTTTGACAACTGTTTTGATCTCCTTACTGGTGATTGTCTATCCAAGTTCTCTATTTCTTCTCGATTCAATTTTGGAAGGTTGAATGATTCTAAGAATTTACCCATTTCCTTTAGATTATCAAATTTGTTGGTGTGCAGCTTTTCATAGTATTCTCTTATGACCCTTTGTATTTCTGAGGTGTCCATTGTAATTTCTTCTCTTTCATTTCTGATTTTATTTATTCGAATCTTCTCTCTTTTTTTCCTGGTGAGTCTAGCTAAAGGTTTTCTAATTTTATGTATCTTTTCAAAGAACCAGCTCTTCATTTCACTGATTTTTTTCTATTGTTTTTTAGTCTCTATTTCATTTATTTCTCCTCTGATCTTATTATTTCTTTCCTTTACTGACTTGGGGCGTTTTTTGTTCTTCTTTTTCCAGTTCTTTTAAGTGCACTGTTAGATTGTCTATTTGGTATTTTTCTTGTTTGTCGAGGTAGGCCTGTATTGCTATAAAATTTCTTCTCAGAACTGCTTTTGCTGTATCCCATAAATTTTGGCATGTCATATTTTCATTTTCATTTGTTTCCAGGTATTTTTTGATTTCTCCTTTGATTTCTTCATTGACCCAATCGTTGTTCAGTAGAATTTTGTTTAATCTCCACATTTTCGTGGCTTTTCCAATTTTCTTCCTGTAGTTGATTTCTAGTTTCATACCATTGTGGGCAGAAAATATGCTTGGTATTATTTCAATCTTCTTAAGTTTATTGAGACTTGTTTTGTGGTCTGATATGTGATCAATCCTGGAGAATGTTCCATGTGCATTTGAAAAGAATGTGTAGTCTGTGGTTTTTATTTATTTATTTATTTATTTATTTATTTATTTATTTATTTAATATTGGCACCTGAGCTGACAACTGTTGCCAATCTTTTTTTTCCCTGCTATTCCTCCCCAAATCCCCCCTAGTAAATAGTTGTATATTTTAGCTGTGCATCCTTCTAGTTGTGGCATGTGGGAGACCACCTCGACATGGCCTGATGAGTGGTGCCATGTCTGTGCCTGGGATCCAAACTGGCAAAACTCCGGGCCACTAAAGTGGAGTGTGTGAACTTAACCACTCAGCCACAGGGCCAGCCCCTAGTCTGTGGTGTTTAGATGGAATGTTCTGTATATGTCTACTAGATTCACTTGGTCTAATGTCTCATTTAAGGCTAATGTTTCCTTATTGATCTGTTTTGATGATCTATCCATTGGTGTAAGTGGAGTGTTAAAGTCCCCTACTGTTATTGTGTTACTGTCTATTTCTCCTTTTATGTCTGTTAATAAATGCTTTATATATTTAGGTGCTCCTATGTTGAGTGCATAGGTATTTACAAGTGTTATATTCTATTCTTGGATTGTTCCCTTTATCATTGTGTAGTGCCCTTTTTTGTCCCTTATACCAGTTTTTGTTTTAAAGTCTATTTTGTCTGATATAAGTATTGCTACCCCTGCTTTCTTTTCATTGCCATTTGCATGGAGTATCCTTTGCCATCCCTTCACTTTCAATCTGTGAGTGTCTTTAGGTCTGAAAGGTCTCTTGCATGAAGCATATATATGGGTTTTGTTTTTTTATCCAATTGGCTACCCTTTGCCTCTTGATGGGAGCATTTAGTCAATTGATGTTTAAAGTAGCTATTGATAAGAATGTACTTATTGCCATTTTGTTACTGTTTTTCTGGGTGTGTTAGTAGTTCTTCTCTGTTCCTTTTTTCCTCTCTTGCGCTCTTCTCTTGTGGTTCTGTGGTTTTCTTTAGTGTTATTTTTAGGTTTTCTCTTAATTTGTTGTATATTTCTTATAGGTGTCTGGTTTGTGATTACTATAAAGTTTATGTGTAATAACCTATGTATATAGCAATCTATGTTAAGTTTATGGTCTCATTAGTTTGACCTCTTGCTAAAAGTTCTACTCTTTTACTCCCCTCTTCTCACATTTTATATGTTGGATATCATATCTAACCTCTTTTTTTTTGCATGTGTATCTGTTACCCTCTCCTCATGGAAATAGATAATTTTAGTACTTTTGTCTTTTGACCTTCAATATTAGCTTCATAGGTGGTTGATCTGCTACCTTTACTGTATATTTGCCTTTACCTGTGATGTTATTGCTTTTTTTAAAATAATTTTCTTAGTTCTATTTGCAGTCTTCTCTTTTCCATTTAAATAAGTCCCATTTAGCATTTCTTGTAAGGCTGGTTTCTTGGTGATAAACTTCTCTAGTTTTTGCTTATCTTGGAAATTCTTTATCTCTCCTTCAATTCCGAATGATGACCTTTCTGGATAGAGTATTCTTGGCTATAGCTTTTTTCCTTTCAGCAGTTTAAGTATAATGTGTCACTCCCTTCTAGCCTGTAAGATTTCTGCTGAGAAGTCATGTTATAGCCTTCTGGGATTTCCTTTGTATGTAACTTGCTGTCTTTCTCTTGCAGCTTTTAGGGTTCCCTCTTTACCCTTAATTCTTGGCATTTTAATTATAATGTGTCTTGGCATGGGCCTCTTTGGGTTTACCTTCTTTGGTGCTCTCTGTGCTTCCTATACCTGGATGTATGTTTCCTTCCTTAGGTTGCTCAGGTTTTCAGCTATTATTTCTTCAGATAGATTCTTGCCCCTTTGTCTCTCTCTTCTCCTTCTGGGAGATCTATAATACAGATGTTAGTGTGCTTGATGTTGTCCCAGAGTTCCCTTAGACTGTCCTCATTCTTTTTGATTCTTTTTGCTTTTATCTGCTCAGGTTGGGTGATTTCCTCTAGTCTTTCATCCAGCTCGCTGATCCGTTCTTCTGTATTGTCTACTGCACTATTGAGTCCCTTTAGTGAATTTTTCATTTCCATTATTGTATTCATTTCTGATTTTTTTTTTTTTTATATTTTCCAATTCTTTGTTGGAGTTCTCACTGAGTTCATCCATTCTTCTCTCAAGATCAATGAGCATCCTTATGACTATTACGTTGCACTCTTTGTCAGATAGATTATTTCTGTTTCATTTAGTTCTTTTCCTGGGGCTTTGCCCTGTTTCCTTACTTGGAAGATATCCCTTTTTCTTCTTATTTTGCCTCTTTCTCTGTGCTTATATCTGTATTAGGTAGGTCAGCTATGTCTCCCAAACTTGGAGAGGTAGCCTTATGCAAGAGATGCCTTATGAGGCCCAGCAGTGTCTTTTCCTCTTGTCACCAGTTTCAGATGTTCTATGAGTGTCCCCTGTGTGGGCTATTTCTCTCCTTCTGTTGTGGCAGGGTTGCACTTGCTGCAAGTGCCTGGGGAGGCTAGGCTGTCCCCTGGCCAGTAGGTTGTATTGTTCAGCTATGCATGGTTGCTATGGTCCCTTCAGTCACTTTATCAGGTGTGGGGGAGCCCAGTACAGTTTTCTATAAGGTCTAATAGTACATATCTGTTGCAGTTTTTCTGTTAAGAGACTAAGCCTCCAGTGTGGCTGGTTTCCAGGGTCAGGGGCTTATAATTGCTGTAGGCCTCTGGCCTGCAAGGTTCTTATTAGCTCTCTTGGGATTGTAGCTGAGTGGGGCCAGCCCCAGGCATTGGAACACCCAACTGTTTCAGGCTTTGGAAGGTGGGGCCAATCCCCTGTGTGTCTGAGAAGCACAAGTCTTCTGCAGCTGACAAGCCTCACTGCCCACAGGGCCACACATCCTGTCAACACAGTCCTGCCCCATGCACATGCCCTGACCCACTGAAGTGGCTCCTGTGACCAACTGCAGAGGCCCCTTACACGCCACCAATGCAGGCCCACCCCTCACGCTTGTCCTGTCCTGCCCAGGTGGACCCACTCACCCAGCTGCAGAGTTTCCAGGCACCCCACCTATGTCAGCCCACAAATTGGCCCAGGACTTGCTGTTAGATGGGGCTAGTCCCTAGAGCAGGCTGCCTTCCCTGGCTGAGCAGCCATGTGCTCTAGTGGGTGACATAGACCCCTGTGCTAACAGGCCAGGGGAAGACCTCCAATAGCATCTGCCAGTGTCTGTGTCAGCACTCCTGTACTAAGTCACAATAATGGCTGCCACCAATGTCTTAGTCCATGGGGAGGTCTCATCTCTCACCAAGATTCATCCAGAGCCTATCAGGTAAGTCTCTTTTCACCAAAGGACTGTGCACCTTTCTTTCTGGTGATTTTAGGTTACGTTCTGAAATGGATGTTTTGTATGTGGACCTTTTAAGAGCTGGCTTTTTCCCCCTTATGTCTGATAGCTTTTCTAGAGGCACTCCCCCTTGTAGTTAATAGCCATCAAAGCCAGATATTATGACACTTGTCTCAGTTGTGCTAAGTCCAAAAGCTACTTATTGTGGTAATGTTCCCCACCTCAGATCCCCCACTCTTCCAGGGAAGGTTTCATACCTTAAGATTGCTTTTGGCTGGCAGTGAGGTGCTGCAGCTAGAACGTTGCTTTTTTCTCTCCAGAAAGGAATTTCTTCCTCTTCCACCTGGGTCAGCACTGTCCCTTGTTGTGGGGGTTCTTTTTATCCAGTTTTCAGTTCTCTCTCAAGGGTAATTCTTCCAAGAGTAGTTGTAAATTTGTTGTGTCCGTGGTAGGAGGTGAGTTCAGAGTCATCCTACACTGCCATCTTGACACCATCCTAAGGTTTAATATTTGTTAATCAGCTCCTTTCTAAGGGATTGAAGATTAATTGGAGCTAACTCTCTAGCTAAAAGAAATAAATCTTGAGTTTCAAGCGACAATAACAGATGCATGGGATAATCTATTTTGACAGATAATTCTCCTGAGATCTTTCAAATTCACATTCTTTTATGTGGAGGGTTAGTTATCTTTCTTGTGTACAATACCCAGAAGACATTATCCAATATATATCTCTTTTGTATTTTCTGCTTTTCCTCCCTCTAGTTTCATCATCTATAGGAAGCTTTTTAAATTGGGGGGCAAAGCAGAAATTTAAAATTTAAATGGTTAGATATAGATATCTTGAAAATAACACCTTAGGAATCAATGGCTTAAGACAGCTGTTCAGGAAACTAGGGGAGAAAATACACTTTGTGTTCAAATATGTGTGGGAAAATTGTGGGGTTTAAATAGTTATTTTTGTTTCCTTCAGGAATGCTCATTTTTCATTTCCATGGTAAAGAGTCTTTTGAATTTATAGTATGTCTAATATATTATCTTTTTTTCCTCACCCCACAGAATGCCTATCAAGATATTGAAAATGTTTATCAGGGTTCTCATGAATTCTATGGCTATTTGTACTGCAGTCTTCCTTGTTGTTCTCTGTTGAGGAAAAACTTACCTAATCACAGAACCCAATTATTTTTACCAGCTTTAAACCCTTAAGTGCTTAGATAAAGTTCCATTATATTTCCCCTATTATCTGCCAGGGCGTTATGCTCAATGTCCTGAGAGATATGATGAAATACATTTAGTCCATCCATGACTGAAGAACATTTCTAGTCTGTGTTTTTTGTTGGCTGCAGTGTTGTAAGTGGGCTAAGTACACGTATTAAGGCAATTTCAGTAAATATAAATTTTGAACATATATAGCATCTGGTATTTAGGCATAAACAGATGGCTCAAGTGCAGATGTTTTCAGATATTGGCTACTGTTCCATTGCAGATCATAAATCATGGTTATATCCAAAGGCTCTTAAGCTAAAGAAGATGGATGTAAAGCTTCCTTTTCAATCAGCGAGGGCTTTAATGGTAAGAAGAAAGAACAACTAAATTTCTATTTATTTAACTAGCTAGTTCTCCCATATAATCTTGATTACATTCAAAAGGGGTATAAACGACAAGTTAGCAAATCAAATATATCCCTAAAAAAGATGGTGAATACACTCATAATAAACACTACTAACATATATTCTGAACTTTCTATGTGCCAATCACTTCTCTAAGTTATAGATATAGATATATAGATACATATTCCAGAGCTCACTGTGCTATAAATAGACAGACTGTGTAATGTGACTTCAAAAAAAAAAAAACAGCTTACAAATCTTAAGTTGCATGTTTCGTTACATCTATATGTCCCTGTAGAGACCAGAACAAAGGATGGATGAATATTAGAGATATTCTGATGCATAGACAAACAGTAGCAAAACAGTGTCAAAGTTCTATTAAGACCTTCAGTTTTACAAGTGATTACACATGATTTATATAATGTGACATTATTTTTCAATTTTCATAGTACCCTGATGATCTCAGTGTTGTTTCCCATCTTACATTTCTAACCATTATAGCCTCAAATATCATAATGGCAGTTTAAGGATCTGGTAACATTAGATCTTTGGCACTCATAAGGTATATTTCCAAAAACTCTTATGAATACAAAGTCAAAGAGAGCACTCTAGGATTCTTGCAGAAATCATGTGTGCTGGCTAAGTGCTATTACCTCCTTAGCCCTTCCTTCACTTTCATTATGAGCATTGGTACTTCTATGAACTCATTATACCTGCCACACTAGAAAAGTTCAAGAAGGTTTCATTGTAATGCATATGCTGCACAGTAGGCTTGATTTAAGGACCAAGTGATTAAACTCTCAGTCAGTTTATGCCTGCATTACTAATTTCACAGTGTTGAAGTACACAATTGATGAAACCATGAATTTGTCTACTGGGAATAAGAATCTTAAGCATAGGTGGCATAAGTGGCAAACCGGCAGCCACAAGTATAAAACAAGGTCAAAGATGTGTTTTCCTTTGATTTCTTAATAATTTAAAAGCATTAATTTTGAGGTTTTGAATAAAAATCTAGATTTCTGATTTTTCATGAAAAATCAAGAGGTTGAGGCACATGGGTATGTTTTTCCATGGTTGGAGGTAAGTAAACTTTGCCCCTTTACTGTGACATTTAGTCTCCTATCACTCATTTTCCCCACCTGCCTGTGTTTAAGGTGACCTGCCTGTCTCTGTAGGATGTTTAAGGATGGTGACTAAGTATATTCTCACTATTGCATTAGGCTCCACTCCACCTTTAGTTCTGCCCTCTGAGTCTTGGTCCGATATGTGTGGCATTCTCATTATAAATTCACTTTCTCTCCCTTCCCTCCTCAACTATTGTCTCATGTTGTACCAGTCTATACGTGATAATCTCGCTGAAGCCCGCATGCTACTTCAGATGATAAAGAGCACGCAGTGATAGTCATAATACTGTTTCACATATTACAATTGAACTACTAGCTCCTCTTTTCTCATTGTTCATATCACTGACAACTTCCATGAAGGAGGAACTGACAGAACACAGAGTATTATCCTAACAGTTTATTTGCATTATTTTGATTTAGTTAATAGAAATTCTTGTGTTATCATCACCAAGGAATCTCAACATTGACGATGTGGTTTCACTGATGTGGATATTAAAATGCGTAAATGGAAAAGTGGCATCTATCTGAGGAGATTGGCTCTAAGATGAAGTATATCATGCTACCCAATATGACATCTGTACCAGAGGAAGAGTTAATTAATTCATCAACACAATAGGCTAGAAGAAAACCTATTGTGTTAACCGGTTTCATAAATGAAAATCAATGCCTTGTGACTCCCTACCATATCCTTGTGCCCAGGATCTTCATGTTGATGGAACAACAACTTTACATGCAGTGCTGCACATCACACGCAGAGCAATACTTTCATTCTTTATTACTTCGAACAAACCCAGAATCCTTCCTGCACTGCAGATCTTGGAAGCCATCTTTCCAAGAAAAAAAGAAAAACCCAACATTTCAAGAAAAAAATGGGAAGACTGTGCGCTTAACCCAGGTTCCAGACATTCTGTGTTAGAACTTGATGGCATTGTTTCCTTACATCCTCTCTTCCCTCATATAGATCAATGTCTTTAAGTAGTTACTTCACATGCACCTTGATGCTTATTTTATTACCTAGACACAAATCTATAGCAGGCAAAGAAGCAGCAGGACAAAGCACACTGTGAAAAATTAAGTTTTTTAAAGTAGTGTTGAGATAGCCCACATAGGTAGGTATGTAGGTATGGCTGGCCCTCAGCAATTATTTTAAGGAGGTATATATTCATCTATTGATCTGTCTATCTATCTACACATATATACATACTAATTGTGCTATACCTCTGGGGAAAAATGCATGGCTATCTTTCAGCAAATGATTTAAAGAAGTGTATAGCTAACCATATATTTTTTCCCCAAAGGAACAGCACAGTCCAAGGAGGGCACTGCTACTGAATTCAGAAGACCTAGTTTCACTGTTTAGTTATCATAGATCTTGGATTATTTTAATCTTAACAGAAGACAACATTAATAGCACTTCACAGAGCTGTAACCATCAAATAAGGATATAGAAATAAATGCCTCCATAAATCTCTAAATAATAATGCAAATGAATAGTTATTATTTAATTAATACCTTACCATTTGAGACCCTGGAGTTTTAGAGCACTTGTTCCCCACACCTACCCAAAACTCCTGCTACATACAGACTAAGTCAGACCATAGTCCTCTCCTGAGCATTTCACATTGACTTGTCTACCATGGAAGAAATGCATATTTCAACTTTTATTGTGCTAGGTAAACCCCAGGCTGATAAAGTAAATGACTTGGTGCTAAGAAAATGCTGGTACCTTGTTTTATCCTAAGTGAGATATAAGAATGAAAATAAGAATAAGAATGAGAATAAATAAGAGTAAAAAATAATTATGAGGTCAGAGTGCCTGCCCTCTGTCATCAATTTACATATCTATTATCTCCAATCCTCAAAACACTGTCAAGTAAGATTTATATCTTTGGCCAAAGACACATCAAAACTAATTGCTAGAGCAGTGTACAAGGTCAAATTTGTCATCCTCCAGTGCCTAGGGACTTTCTTCTATGTAACTGCCTCTGTAGTTTTGGAGACACAATGACTTAATTCAAGAGAGAATACTGAAGAGGATTTCACATAAAGTGGCTATTAGAAGAAGGCATTTAAGAATGTTCTCATGACACAGCACTAAGTGATCGTCTGCTTGGACAGCACAAAGGGCTGGGATAACACTCACACTGTATATTAATAAGCAAGCCATGGAGAATGTTTGAAGCAATTATTTAAATAATTCTAGAAGGAAACAAGCACCATCACATTTTGTAGTAGAATGATTTATACTAGCTTC